CTTTTGTTACTATTTAAAAAAAAAAAAAGAAAAAGCTAAAAAATTATTAAATACAATTATTTAGTTAGGTTTAATTTAATATGGCTGTGCTCTTTTTATTTTTAATTTTAGTTTTCATAAATTTTGTAACTTTTAAAAATCAAAATTAAAACTTTATTGAAGATGATTTTTAACACTAACAATAAAAAATATATAAGGATATTAATTTAGATACTTTTCTGTCTAATACACATTAAAAATTTATTATTTTTTGATCAATAATTAAAGATAAAAAGACTTAAAAATACAATTATATATACAGTCAAAAAGAATTAATTGAATTGATTATATTTATATTATATTTTAATGATTAAAATATCTAAGTGTTAATGTGTTTGTAGAACCAAAAGTGTCCAAATCATTTTTTAAAATATAAATTTATTTAATAGTATTAACATTATTTTTATTTTTATTTTTTTAATAATTATAATAATATATTATACAAAAACATAAAAATAGACAATTTTTTTAATTTAAAATTACAAATTTTATAAAAATTAAAAGTGACAATTATATTAATTAAAAAGAGCCTTAATTTTCAATTGGTTTTTAGTTACTCATTTGGATAAAGATAACCAACCGTTTGCACAACCTTATGTGCTGGTTTGCTTTCGACATTTTGGGGGATTTTTTATGCAGTTACGCAGTGGTTGTTGATTTGATTACTTGGAAGGGAGGGATTTGATATGGATTTTTTCTAGCTAAAAATATTTGTAAATATAGATGTAATGGGCTGAGAATTAATTCAGATATCCTTGTATCATTTTAACAAATTAAATTCATTTCTTTCATTGCCGATCAAAACAATTTGTTAGACAATGATTAAACAACATGAACCTTAAGAGTTAAATTTATTGGCCAAAATCTAAGTAAATCAAGTACAAAATTGAAGTCTTGATACCAATATTAAAATAAATTAATTTCTTTAAATATACAAGACTTAATGCATAGATAAAGTCTAAAAATTGCTTAGAGGGGATATAAAAAAGTTGACCCAAAACACTCTTACCATCAATACGGCAATGCAGCATCAGATGAATAGAATTAAGTCTTCCATAGTTCTACTAAACTGTATTAAATAATCTTTTATAAGAATTTTTTAAGTTGTGTCTTAATAGTATATATTAAAAGTATATTTATATTTATTATCATTAATATATATAGAAAAAATAAAATTTAATTTAATTTTTATCAACTGTTTAATTAAATTATTCTACACAATATTGATATAAAAGATAAAGTTTATTTTTGTAATTTTTCATATAAATTAATACTTTCTTTGGTCAAATTTAATTGTTCTAATTTAACTTTTGTATGAAATTTAACTACAAAACTTTATATGGTAAATGAATTATAATAAAAAATTTATGTAATTTATGTTGAACATTTTTACTTAAATTAAAATTTTTTAATTAAAATTTATTTATTATATAAAATCATTAAATTAATTTACATAAATTTAAAGAATAAAACAACTCAAAAAAAATCACAAGCAGAAGTAAAATGGTACAATAGAAAAACCTTTTTTTATATTAAAAAACTTGCAAAGATCACAGTCGAGATAAAA